ACAGATACCTATTACCAAAGTTAAATAAAGATCAGGTAAACTATCTGAATAGTCCTATAACCCCTAAGGAAACAGAAGCAGTCATTAAAAGTCTCATAACAATAACAACAAAAAAGCCAAAGGCCAGATGGTTTTAGTGCAGAATTCTACCAGACTTTAAAAGAGCTAATGCCAATACTCTTTAAACTATTCCACAGAATAGAAACAGAAGGAACATTGCCAAACTCATTCTATGAAGCCATAGTCCCTCTGATACCTAAACAACAAAGACTCAATAAAGAAAGAAAATTTCAGAAAAAAATTCACTGACTGTTCTTCCAGGGGTCCTGAGTTCAATTCCCAGCAACCACATGGTGGTTCACAGCCATCTGTAATCAGAATGGCTAAGATCAAAAATTCAAAGGACAGTAGATGCTGATGAGGCTGTGTAGCAAGGGGAACACTCCTCCATTGCTGGAGGGGGTGTAGACTTGCATAACCAATCTGAAAATCAATTCAGTGGTTTCTCAGGAGATTGCAAATGGTTCTACCTTCAGACCTAGCTACATCACCCCTGGGTGCATACTCAAAAGATGCTCCGCCATACCACAAAGATACCTGGTCCTCTACAGTCCTAGCAGCTTTATTTGTAACAGCCAGAAACTGGAAACACTCCACATGTCCATCAACTGAAGAATAGATATAGAAAATGTGACTTATTTACACAATGGAATACTACTCAACCATTAAAAATAAGGACATAATGAATTTCACAGGCAAATGGATAGAACTGGAAAATATCATTCTGAGTAAGGTAAGTCATACCCGAAAGGACATGTATGGTATGTACTCACTTTTAAGTGGATATTATCCATAAAGTACAGTATAGCCATGCTATAATCAATAGACTAAAAAAAGCCAAATAAGAAGGAGGGCTCAAGGGAAGATGGTTGAATTTTTCTCAGAAGTGGACCAAAATAGATGTTGGAGGTCTATGGAAGGAGAAAACTGGGTGGAAGAGGGGATTGGGGGGGGGGGGGGCAGAGATCAAATGTAGGGTGAGCCGGAGAGAGAGAAGGGAGATGGGAGGGTGATCAGCAATCTCTAGGATGTGCCAGAGATCTAAGGTGGGGAGAGGCCACACAGGATCTATGACTGAGACTCCTCCCAGTGGGGAATATGGATCCTGAAGTGGCCATGCCCTATAGCTCGGCAGGGTTCCCAGTGGCAAGATAAGGACAGCAACCCACCAACAAAGCCTCTGACTCCGAATGGCTCCTGTCTAGAAGATGTACAGGGACAAAGATAAAGCAGAAACTGAGGGAATGGCCAACCAATGACTGCCCCAAATTGAGACCCATCCCACAGGCAAGAACCAATCCCTGACACTATTAATGATACTGTTATGCTTGCAGATAGAAACCCAGCATAACTGTCCTCTGGGATGCTTGACGGAGGAGCCAATGGGAAGAGATGTAGAGACTTGCACTCAAACATCAGATGGAGCTTGAGAAGTCTTACTGAAGAGTTGGGAGAAGGATTGAGGGACCTGGTACAGGAAGTCAACTAACCTTGACCCTTAGGGGCTCCCAGAGACTCAATCACCAACCAAAGAGCAAGTGCTGGCTGGATATCAGCCCCCTGCACATATGTAGCAGATGAGCAGCTTGATTTTCATGTGTGTCCCCCAAACAACTGGATCAGGGCTGCCCTTGAGCCTGTAGCCTGCCTGCCTGCCTGCCTGCCCGCCCGCCTGCCTGCTTGCGGATCCTGCAGCCTTAAATGAACAGCCTTGTTTGACTTCAGTAGGAAGGGATGTGCCTAGTCCCGCAACCCCCACCCCCCGCAATGACTTGACGTGTGGGAGAGGGAGGAGTGATTAGGGGTGTGACACCCAGGGGTGGGGGGACTTCTCTTTCTTTTCTTTTTTTTTTTTTAAATAAATCAATCAGTATCACTTTATTTCAAGCCAAGGTTTTACATTAACACCAACAAACTAAATTTAGGCAAACTGTTCATTCACATTTGACAAAGTACATGGTTTCTAAGTCCAATATTGGGACTTCTCTTTCTAAAGGGGTCGGGGGGAAGGGCTTGAGTGAGGGAGTGCTGGGAGGAAAGAAAGGGCTGATATTAGGTTGTAAAAGATAATTATTTCACAACACTAGCTTTTTTTACAGCCTTGAGTTTGATTGACAGTATATGCAACCAGTAGCAAAAGATATGATTCCTCACTGGGAAGTGGTGGGGTGTGGTTGCATATGTGGCCCTTTCGCAGAAAAGGGAATTTCCAAAATGAAAAGCTGTGGGTGACCTCCCAAGGCCATCTAGTGCTTTCAGAAGGTCAAAAGCACTTAAGAGGCCATGGAAGTTCTGGTAGAAGCAGCCTGCTTTAAACACCCCCAGAAAGCACATACATTCCAAAGCCAGCAGCTCATTCCAGCCAAGAAACTTCCTGCCAAGAGCTTCTTTGTGGGTTGAATATGATTCCTCAAGGTATAATTCTTAGCTTTTATTTATTTAGTTTTTATTTTCTTCTCCTGAGAGACAAACAAGTTAGTCGTGAAGACTAATGAGCACGAGGAATGCAGCTTGCCCACAGGCAGCGATTTCAACACAAGAGACCTCATTCTGTTATCCATTTCTCCCCAGGTCTGAAGAACAGCAATTAAAGTGGCTTTCCCAGCAGGCAGAGGGCACTGGAAGGAGGCAGCTGGTTTACCTGAGTGTGAATAACTAAAATTCTTGAAATCTCAAAGTACAGTTTGTCAGGGAATACTTGTTGGTGCCAATAGCAACACATGCCCCTCCCCCAAAAAGGAGCAAATAAGGAGAAGGGGAAGCAGGAGTTTAAGTCTATAAAAATGCAGAGCTGCATGGAGCTGGGCTGGCCCTTAAGAAGGGCAAAGAGGAGGCCTCTCTCACCCAGGTAATGACTGTATGGGCCCCATAAGGAGATGGTTAAGTCAAACTGAGATAACTACGCTTAGGAGGGGGGAAAATATGTCAATCACACTTTGCCTTTGACACAAGGAAATTCCTTGAAACTGAGAACGGAGAGTGGAGGGGAGGGAGAATGTCTCCTGATGTGGGTGGCCAGGAAACCAGGGGCCAGAAAAGCATGGGAGGAGAGAGAGAGAGAAAGAGTCAGGGGATGGGGCCGAGCATGAGATTGAATTCTAATCAAAATGCTATGAGGCGTTCACACCAGGCCTTGAGAGAATATTAACAAGGTTATGGGGGGGAGAGGGGGCGGGAGCCTTTAGCCCCAGGAATTATTAGTGAATATGGAATTATATTTGCACAAACACTACCAGATGCAAGGAGGTAAATGTCCTGCAGATGTGGAAGGGGCCAGCGTATGCTCCAAATAGGCAGCAGCTTTATTTGTTTTACCCTTCTTCCAGCACCGGGGCAGCACGTTTCTGAGGGGTTACATTTCTGGAATGACCACCACACCATGAACCCCAGTTTTCCAAATTCTGCTTCATCAGCCTCCACAGTCCTCGACCCAGGACCATGTGGAGTAGCCCCGAGGCAGACTTGACTAGCTCACCAGCTCATTGTCTCCTTTAGCAGGGAGGAGGGCAGTCTAACATTCCGAGAAGTGATGTCACGAAAGATGAAAGTGATCAGAGCTAGGCACATCACAGCAGCTTCAGAGAGGAGTTGGGAATACAGATATAACCTGAAAACAAAGGAGGCAAGGTGTTTCGCTGTTCTGTGAATCATCATACCTTCCCATAGTTTAATTTAGATTCATCGCTGCCAGAAAGGACATACTTTATTTCTAACTTTGTGACAAGACACTATTTTCAGAGAGTCTCCTGAACACAGGCCCCTAAATCTCTACAGTAGTCATTTTGAGGACCAGTTGTTGAGGATATTGAATAGTTGTGAGGTGAGGTAGATCAATGGGTAAAATTGCCTCCCTCCAAGGCTGAGTTTGAGTCCATATAGTGGAAGGAGAGAACTGGCTCCTACAAATTGTCCTCTGACATCCACATATGCATCATGGCGGGCACATGTATTCCCCCTGACCCCCAACACGCATACACACAAACACATACAGATATAGATAAATAAGTAAAATATAAGTTAAAAAATTGAAGACGTGGGCATAGCAAGCCACGTTTCAGAAGACTGATAAGACATGTAGACGAAAAGAATCTTGAAGCTAGCCTCACGAGTTCTCACGGGGGCTCTGTCAACGTTGGTTATATCCCTGCATGGTTATATGTTCTTATACAGTTCATCAAATGAAAGAGCTTAATGCTAATTAGTTACTATTGCCCTGAATTTCTGTCACATTTTTCTCTGGATAGGATAATATGCAGTTGGGTTGAAAACACATTTAGCTTGAAGCGAGTGGAACACATTATATGGGCCCTATAACTTTGCTGTAGAGTTGATTGTTAGTTGTATTTTGATGAATGGATTCCAGAAAGGCTCTTATTAGATGCTCACTCCATGATCTTGGCAACCAAGAGACATTATCCTGGGACATGAATGCATCCTACAGTGCCCAGCTCTGCTGGCAGTGGAAGAGAAACAAGACTTGAAATACAAAGCCAGAAGCCGGTAGGAAGAAGTTGCCTAGATCTTGTGACTCTTGATGTTTCAAATTTCTAACAAAAGTGTTCTCAATCTGACGACAGTCATAAATTTGCGTGAGTGTCACTGGGAACAATGAGCCACACGCTCTGAGGGGAGTTTTCCTAAGCTAGCCGTAATAAAACACAAATTTTGATTAACCACACTGAAAAGGAAAGTTACAGTGTTCCTATTCTGCCTCAGCAGTGTGATGTAGTAAAAGAGTTGTCATTGGGAGAAACTGTCAGAATCTGCAGCACAGTTGTTTCTGTGTGTAACAAAAGTGCTCCAGACAGCTAAGAGCATTGCTTGTTGTTTTCCTGGATACTAATGTTAAGCTTGTTTCAAATTAGCATGTTGTTTCAATTCCTCTTCTTATTTTCTTTTTTCGATTTTTTAACTTTTCCGTTTTATTTTATTTTTAAAATGTGTACAGGAAAGCTGCGTGGCAGCTGCAGGCACTGTGCTTACCTGAGCTGTCCAAGTTTCTCCAGTTTCTCTGTCTACAGTTGGAAAGCCCAAGGCCACAACCAGCCATGGCCCTTGGAAACACACTGATGACTTACTTCTCTTTCTATCAAATATTTATTCAATTGTTTCGTATTAAAGCCAGAATTGCATTGTTTTTCCTAAGTAAGACTCCCAGAGTTGAATGAGTCTCAGACCCACATCACCTGGATTCAGCCCTGGTGCCATGTGCTGTGTGTCCACTTCCCACACTCTCCTATTTCTGCCGTTAGTACACAAGGCATGCTCTGTTCATACCTCCTGACCTGGGCCTCTCAGTCTTTGTACATAGTTTTGAGTCAAGGTCCACCTTTTCTAAAGGAAGGCATTTATCGTAGCCCTCTTCTCAGTCCCTTCCCCATCAGAGGGCATGCTGAATCCTGAGGAGTTTTCTGTGCTTTATCTAGGGTCCAAATGACTTCCATTGACATCACCTCCACTGTACCCACATGTCCCTTACCTGCCTCACAGTTGATAAATCTTAAAGTTCTTACTGGCAGGCTTTGTTTCCTCTAATGAGGTATGTCTTGCGGGTTTTTCTGGGAATTCCTCTTTCTTATAATATTTTCAGGTGTTTACAAACCATAGGGGAATAAAATAGAAAAGCTACTCCAAAATACCTGGGTTGAAGGATTTTGGAACTACAGCATCTTCTAACTGAAATTTAGAACACATTTCCTCCAGAAAGCCACCATGCAGTTCTCCTTTGACCCCCGTTTACTGTAGGCCACACATCCACATGGAATGTTTACTCATATTCTCATCCTTCTGAGAATACAGGATCAACAATGCCTTATAATCTCTGCAACAAAAATAACACTTGTTGATTTCAAAGCATTATGAGGACCCAAGCATAATTTCCAGTCTGAAATGAACTGAGGTTTGTTTGTTTTTGTTTGTTTGTTTGTTTTTACTTCAGTGCAATCTATCATGTTGCCTTAAAAACGAAAAAAAGTTAATTTTTTTATCAAAACAAAATACCTCACTTCTGCATGGAACAAAAGTCCAAGGATCTCCTGACCCAACTCCCTAGATTCTTGTGTGTGGCTTCAGCTCCTTTGGTGTAATAGCGGCGTATGGTACTGCTTCCAAGTCTGTAGCTATAAAATTAGATGGTGTTATTTCTTTCCCATTGAAAAAGGTCCCATGAGCCCTGAAAGTTAAATGATTAATGACTGAAAGCTACTACACAAACATGAATACTTAAAAATAACCCCTCTTTGCTCCAGTGATAGGCACCGATAATCTCATGTTAAGCCTGGATCCAGTCTTAAGGCAGCCGAGATAAATCCCTTTCTCTGCTTCAGTCTGGGCTGGTGTTTTCTGATTTTCTCCACCGACAAGTCTCCCGTCAGGCTCGGACTTCACCCTAGAAATGTGAAATCTGCTCTCTGATTGTAAAGGACTCACACATGGGACATCTCCAGTGTTGTCCACTGAAGGGTCAGTATAACTTCTCTTTTTCAAGGTACATGACTGATTTCTCTATACTACAAAATTATTAGGAAAGTGTTGTAAGATCAAATATTTCATCAAATCTTCATTCATTTTAGACCCTTCCTAAGAGAACCCCTGTACAGCTGTTGAGAACCTCCAAGACAAACATGTTTCTGTCTTGCCTGCTAGAGCTGGGTGTGCCTGGAGAGATATTCATAAGGAAATAGGTTCTGGAGAATTTTGAGTTTACTTTTTGTTTACTGACTATAATCCATTCTTTTCTTAAGGCAGAATACAACTACATGGAATCTCTGAGCTCAAATATGATCCCAGAGCAAATTTAAAACATCTTGGGTGGGTTATCAACCAACTCTGACACATAGCAAACAGTCTTGTCTTCAATGACTTCCATTTCTTTGAGCTGATGGACAGCCAAATACGGGAGTCCCTGCAGGAGAAAAGCATCACAAAGCTTCCTGCGTTTCAGACAACCATTGTGTGAATAGCTGGCCTGGTTTCACCACTAGAGCAAAGCAAGATGAGGGGCTTAAGACTCCTCACCAAGCAGATCTGTATCTGAAATCCTGACAGAGCCAGTTAAAAGCTATGGTATCTTGACCATTTTGTTCCATTTCTTGCAGGCTATTTCCTTATATACAAAGATGGACAAAATCCCACGGTGGGGGGGGGGTGGAGGAACAAAGCGAAAGTAATGTAGTTAGCAGCTGCTGCACATTAGAGGGCTGAATTCAGACATCAGAACCCAGAGGTGCAGAAACTGGAGTCTGATGAGTTTTGTTGCATTACAGACGAAAAGTGAAGAATAACTGACACAGAACAAAAATCCTGCCCTCAAGAAATCCCGACCATCTACCTCATCTTTGTAAAATGTCAGTAAATATCTGTCCTTATACATTTTTTTTATTTTTCCAAGTGTGCATCAAGCATATTCAGAAATTGCACATGCACTTGGATCTGGAAATCCAGACTGGTAGCACAGCATATACTTCACATGAGTTCTGGATTTGAGGTCTCCAACTAAATAAACTTAAAATAAAAATAGTTGTTCAAATTTGTCAGTTTATAAAAGCCAAGACTATCTCACAATTATAGTTGCTCCAAACCACACGCTGTGGAAACCAGGGTAGAGTATGATGGTTTTTCTTGGTGGAGACACTGGGGTCCAGGGAAGCCAATGTGATGAGAGCTTTCAAAACAGAGAGCCAGAGGAAGAAAAGAGAGCCATGGCCAGTGAGATCTTCTGGGATTTGTAGTCCTTTGCTAGGTTTGAGCCATGGCCAGTGAGAGCTTCTGGGATGTGTAGTCCTCTACAAGAACTGCTCAAGCACAGAGAAAACTACCTTAGCGTGCAATGAACTCTGATGTCTCAGAATGCACAGAGGGCCAGGATGTTTCATCATCCCGAATTGAAAATGTAACTGTAGCAGGATACTTATTCTGCCACATTGTATTTGCAGTGGAGCTCAGTGATCAGGCAGTAGAAAAGGAGGTAGAGCTAGGAGAGAATGAGAGGAAAGGAAGGGGAGAAAAAGAGAAAGGGACAGGGAGAAATAGAGGAAGGGGAAGAGAGGAAGGAGTCTATCAGCTATGGAGAACCACGGATGGGTGGAAAGCTGTCTTGGGTAGCAACTTCTATCAAAAGGTTAGATATTGGGTAACAACTCTAATTGTGTGGTCATCTTGTTGATTGAGCATTTCTAAATATATAAATCCTTTATATATTTAGAAATATATAAATCCTTTAGATAATTAGTAAGCTTTAAGAGTCTCACTTCTACCGGATTCTGTGAGGATGGCAGCTATTGTCTGGTGATCAGCTGAGCTTTGTGGATGCAGTGTGGTGGATTGGCAGAGCCATCCGCCATGCTGGTGTCTCCTGGGTGCCAGGGCCTGTGTATCTAGCTAGTCGGAGCCCTGGTCAGAGTGGAGGAGCAGCAGGAACATGGCAGCTGCCCAGGAACAAGCCAGACGGGAGCTGTTTTCTAAATATACCCCTTACACCTAACTCTCAGTGGTGAGACTAGTAGTAAGAACATTCTAGTCTCAGATGTGGGGGAGAAATCAAAATTGAACAAAATATTGTCCTGATCCTGCAGCATCAGTTTGTTCCTTAATACTTAGTTATTCTCCAGAACAGTGTAGCACCTTTTAATGTAAGTCTCATAATGTTGTGCATCTGGTGAAGAGTCTGCAAAAATAACAATGAAAAGGAAAATAAATTCCACTCAAAAATGATTCAAATTATAACATTAATAAGGAAGGTTAGTAGTATAGTTGTGGCAACTGTGCTCCAAATGTTCAGAATGTGAGAAAGGGGTTGAGAACATGGCTCAGGGGTGAGCATCTACCAGCATACACCACACTGTACTTCAGGAAGAAAGGATGGAGGCTCCACAAGCTTTCTCCTTCCATGATAACATATCTGTGGATGATCTTGTAATAAAATGTTTGTTTACACAGCCGCGCTGATGAAGCTTCATGGATGTAGCTTCTGACAGTTCTAGGAGACACAATCTTGCACAAACTTTCTATTCTTCTGGTCCTTGCAATCTCTCACCTCCTCTTCTGCTAAACATAAATATTAACATATATTTACATATATGTATGTATGCATATACATATACATAGCCATGAATTTGATAGAGAGCTGGGGATAAATGGAAGGAGTTGGAGGGAGGGAAGGGTTAAATGATGTAATTATATTATAATTGCAAAACATTAAAAATTATTATTTAAACAAAGCAAATTAAAAATGCATTTAATAGATCAGGCAAAGATAATGAAAATGTTTCTACAAGATGCATTTCTGGCTAGGCCCCTTGGACTACACCTGCACTCCCACATTCAAGGAGCTGAAAGAAAGATTCCAAGACAAGGTAGCCAGGATGTTACTGTAAAACCCTATGTCAAACCTTCACCTGAAACAACTTCTAAATATGGAAGCTAAGCATCTAAGATGTAAAATGCACTGGACAAGATTCACATCAGCTTAGGCTTCAAAGGCAAATTGGTAAGTAGATTTGGAGACACAAGAATAGAAACTATTCACCATGAAGCACAGAAGAACTGAAGAAACTAAGAGTCCGGGAAGTGGATTGCTGGTCCACAGGACAGACTCAGACAGACAAGGAAGTGTGTAATTAAAGGAGAGAAGGCAAGGTAAGACACAAAATTTTAAGGAAATACTAGCTAAAATATATCTAAATTTAAGAATGTCCAATATGCTTCAACTATAAGAAACATGACAAAATATGACCACATCAAGGTAGGTCATAATCAAATTGCATGAATAAGTGTATGCATGTATAGAATTCTATGAGATATTATTATTAATATTATTAATATGCTCATAATTTTTAAATTAAATTGGAAAACATAACTATAACCTTGAAATACACAAAGGAAATTTCTACTGTCTTCTATGAGAAAGGAAATACAGTAGGCTAAACCAAAAAAATAAAATAAAAATCTACCCAAATCTCCCATTAACTTTATTTACATATTAGAAAAATATAATGAGATATGAGTGTTCACCAATTGAAAAGATTATTATAAAAATATGAAAGAGAAGTTTGGCTAGAAACATAAATGT